TCTGCAAGCCTGAGTTTTACTTACTTCATGGTATATTGCTTCCAATGAAATGAATTCTTTTTTTTTCATGGTTGTTGCTAGAATCAGAATCAGGAGCTATAGCTTCTTTCTACATCATTCTTATGGGAGTTAAAGTCTTATTCCAGTATGTTGAGATAAGCTTCATTCTGTCTGTGGTGAACTGGGAATATTCTTAGTGTTAGCTGAGCCATGCATAAGAAGGTACCAGAGTAGGGCCACAGGAAACCTTGAAGTGGGAAATTYGGATTGGAACAGAAAGGTGGCAAAGGAACACAGACACAGAAGGACGGGGCAAAAGCTGAAGGAGTGMAAGGAGAATGAAAGGGTGAAATAAYTAATGCAGCTGATCAGATCCTCAGTTGTGCTGGGAACAGGTAAGACATAGGGGAATCATTTATGGACGTTTTAATGTCCTATTAAATACAGTGTAAATACAGATTGAAAGAGTTTTAAAGATCTCAAGAGAGTCTGACCTCCAACTTTCTTAAGTCACATCATCTATGTCAACATATCATAGGGCCAAGGTGGTCCATGGTTGCTATGGTGGCTTTCAAGCACTTCAGTAGGCTCTCCCAGGGCATTTCTGACATGCTAGGATGCAGCTGGTCAGGAGCTGGTATTGGTAAAAAGTTTGAAAATTGGTCTATGGTACAAAAATTGTGTAGTTTGACCCATGTCTGCATGATCCACTTGGCATGACACTATCCCTAACACAGAAAAAATTTGTAAATTATTGTCACTATTTCATATATAGTATAGGTGGGCTATGAACATTTGTTTGTTTTTTTTTTTATTTTTAACGTACACAGATCAGATTATACCACCCTGGGAAGATCCTGATTAAAATTACACTTCAAAGAAATTCAAAGATTTAGCTACAGGAGGACACATTTAAATCAATCAACCATATCTGTGCCCTGTATTGATTCTGAATAGTTTCTGTGTGATTGAGACGTTTTGATTTTCATAATCTCATTTCCAATTACACCATAGAAGCTTTGAGTGTTTCCCTTTTTTTCTTTTCTTCCCTCATGGTGTCACTACAGGCCAAACCTGACAAATCCTCATGGTACATGTACACGAGCCTAAGCACCCCAGATGAGGTATTTCTGTTTTGCTGCCTCCAAAGGTTGTCTTCTATAACCTGGACAGGGAGTACAAGGGATGGATATCAGTTGGGGGGCATAAGTCAGTGTGCAAAAGTTTGAGTGGCTATAGGTCTTGTAGGCTTCTTTTCCTACAAAGCTTTCATTTGTGGTCCTGGACAGCAGTTATTTTCAATATGAAAGAGGACAAGTCTCAGAGTCACAAGTCTTACTCAGAAATGCCTCAGAAAATAAACTGTGTAGTAACTTTCTGWGTTTAGCAGGCAGAGATATCTCATTAAACTTTTAAAATAAATATTTGTATAAACTGGTGAAGGTCAACTCCAATGGCGGTTATTATCTGGCTAAAAAATGTTACCTGTATAATGTTGTGAATAAAAGGTTCCGGCCTGGTTCTCTTACTGCTGACMATTAAGGCACAGTTTATTGGAAGTGTTAGCAAATGTATGGTTCAAAATTTTATTTGGTGCAAAAAGAAGAGGAAAGCGATTGCCAGTTTTTGTTTCTGAGAGCATATGTGACCTCCATCCCAGCTATTTATGTCATACACCAACATTGCATCTGTGGACTCCTAAAGTAGATCTGCTGTAAAAAAATGACCTCTTATTTATGGCTATAACAGATGATAATAATCAAAATGCTACGATTCTGACTTCCTGACATTTTTATCAACCCCAGGAATACACTTCAGCTGGAAAATGCTGAAACTGTCAACATGCAGTTTTTAGATACTTTGCTCTTGTTGGATTTTCTGAAATTCAGCATTTGTAACTGTTGGTTTTGCTTCTAAGGGAGTCTCTTACATTGTAAATACCGCCTCATAAATTCCTGTACAAGCATTTAATTAATCTGTTTAATTTTCAAGATCATTTCTGTCTTCTCATTAAATGGTAATTTCCTGTATCAGAAATCTAATGTCCTCTCTAATCAGACAATTATATTTCAAGATGAGAAAATTATTTCTTTTTCTACACTACGTGTATTTGGGGGTTTAGAATTCAGGTAAAATACATAACCTGATTTTTTTCTTACTGCTCTGGAATTTTTACTTCAAGTTGTTGGCAAATTAGTACTTTGGCATTTTCATCACAAAATGACATACTAACCCCACTCTTTCAGCTGAAATGAAAAAAACATTATTAAGATTGCAATGTCAAGCTTTCAGAGGCTAGGGCAGAGGAAAAATGACATCTTGTCTAAATAGTGTATCCATAACTTGGCCCTTACCTCTGCTGAAGGCATTAAAATATTGCCTGTAGTTATTATGAAAAAATCTGATGTTTTGCCATATTTCATATCCAAGTCAGTCCTTTTTTTTCTATATTAATTAAAATCATGCAATGAGGAAATGCTGGGTATTGTTTGTTCAGATTCTGTTTACAGGAAAAAATAGTGGCTTTCTATATTTTGGCAGTTGCAGTTTGCCTTGGAGACAATGGATTCACCTCTTTCATCTGGTGCAGGACAAGTGACCAAAATCAAACTTATCAAGATGGTCACTTGTTTCCATGTTCCTTTGTGTCTTGGGAAGATTCAAACACACAGAGCTGAAAGCCAGGGCAATGGGAACTCAGGTGCTGGGCTTTGAGGAAAAAAAGTGCTGCACAGGGATTTCACATACATGATGTCTAAAGTGAATGCGTACATTTGACCTCCGACTTTTAGGTCTGTGCTTCGAGATGTTCCTCRTGTCTTAGGTTATTTTAAAAGTAAATGATACTATGGCTTTGAAGGGTAGTAATAAAATAGTGATTGGGCAATTTTGTCTTTAGAGCAATGTTCAAACTATGCACTTTAGAAAATCAATGGATACACGTTGCATGATGAGGACAAAATAAATATTTGCTTATTAGTGGAAAAGACTACTCCTCCATTGTGGCATGCAGGTGCTGTACAAAGAAACAAAAAATTAAAACACATGGTATGAAACAAAAATAAATAAGAAAGCATACTGACAGCTACATAAGCAGAGTGGAAATATCTAAGATGGGAGCTCTTATTCTATGGTATGTGTATCACGAGTGGTATGAGAACTATTTCAAAGTGGTCTTCAAATACAATTTGAGCATCTGARCAGAAGAATGTCTCCTACTACATATGAGTTCCTATTATTGCATTCCCACAGGAAACTGGGATGAAGATCTGGAAGCCTGCATGAGCACTGGCACATGTCACATTTCCACCATCGTCACGAATCTGGTAAAATTTCCAGAGCAAACTAAAATGGTTATTTCAGGCTTAAAGGATGACGTGGTAAGTGATAGCTAACATTAGCTCAAGCAGAGAGTCATGTCACTTAATACCCTTCTCCAACTCTTATTTAGCAGGGAAGATGAAGTCAAATGGCATTGTGTCATTCTAGGAATATCCTCAGGTGTTCTTCACAAGCTTTTTCCAAGCAAGCTAACAGAGCCCAGTGAGAACAAACAGGAGTAACTTGTTCTCTTGTGTAACTTTACAGTAGGTCTCTGACAGCAAAAGAACTATGAATATTACATTTTATCCAATACATAAACTGTAGCAGGCAGAGTAATTTCCCACCTACTGCTCATCAAACCTATCCTGGGTGTTATCCCTAGATTTCCTTCTCATCTGATTGTAATTGCCTGGCATTCACAATTTGTACTCCTTAGGCTTCTGACTGCTCCTTGATCAATATGTCTGAGCTCCTTGTCCCAACTCCAGTTGTCCCTATTTCACTAGCCAGTCTCCCAATCTGTCGAGCCCCTTCAGCCCACCTTCCCCATCTTTGTCCAGTTCTCACYTTTTGTCCACATGCAAGGACATTTCACAACTGAGGCACCACAGTGCTTTAATCTATATTTTATATGAGTAAGTATTTCAAAGGAAGACTTTCTAGTTTTATAATTTAGTATATTGCCTTGTAATTAGTCATATTGCCTTTAAGTAATCATTTAAGTTAATTAATATGTGGCTATGCATTTCAGAACGAGATTTGAACTTTAAAACATATATTAGATAATATTGCAGAACTATTTCACTTGGAGTATTTATTAATCTGAACAATTATTCAAGCAAGTATCCAACTTAATGATTAAAGATATATAAATGTACAGAGTTTTTTTATCAGTACAATGCATCAGAATTAATAGTGCCAAGTGAGTCCTAACCAATGTATAATATTAAATGAATAGAAGAATAATTCAGTATTGTCAACAGTAAGGGAAGTGACAAGCAGTATTTCAAAGCCAATCTCAAATGACAAAGGAAAAATATATTAATCTTTCCTACTCAATATAATGTAAAAGTAAATATGTGGTTGTACACGTTTGAATATGTAGTAATAAATGCAYATACATGTGTATTAATTTGAATCTAATAGAGCAGAAGTATACAGTAATATGATTAATACAGAACAATTTAAAAATTATTTCATTGGGCAGTCAGTGTGAATGGATTTGCTTTTATACTAAAGTAATCTATGCATGGCTATTGACTAGAAGAATTRTTAAGGATTCATTGTTATGCTTTAAAGCTAATACACTTAGGTAATAATCATAATCACTGGTTTATATAAGTAAGCAAGCTCTTCTGCCATCTTTAAGCATATACAAAAGTTCAAAATGGTGCAACATATAAAGAACATCTTGACTGATTCCCAAGCTGCCTGTGAAGTTTCTGCACTTCAAACACTTTCTAATACTTACAGATGTGTCTGAATGCTTCACTTTGGTGCTGTTTTTGGGAAAAGAATAAAAGGGAATTAGGGAAACCTGGTTGAACATTAAGGAAAATATTCTGCTGCATAACTGAAGCGGCAGGAGATCTATAAAACCAGTCCCCAGAAGTGCTCTGTGGTTTATCTGTCTGTAGTTGAGGTGAAAACTTCCCCCTGATTAAATCACTGTTTACATTCCATTTTTGGTGTTCATGTACAAACTGCAGTCYGTCAGCATACAGCATTTTCCACAGTGGATCCAGAAAATAATGTGTTTGGTAAAGCAAATTTGGTGCAGGGCAGGAAGGATAGGGTCCCCATGGCATGAAATAATTCGCAGCAAGGCAGTGCTCTAGCTCCTTTTGATGTCCTCGCTTTCGTGACCTTCGACGTTGCCTGAAGTCCCCGTGAGCAAAGTCATTTAAGTTTGATGGATGAATACTCCAGTAATTTCCTTTGCCATCCTCACATCTTCCCACCTTGATGAAACAATCATTTAGTGAAAGGTTGTGCCTTACGCTGTTCCTCCAGCCTCGACCTTTGTTCCTGTAAAAAGGAAAATTATCTTCAATATATTTGTAGATAGCAGCTAAATTCAGTTTATTTGTGGGGGAAGAAAGAATTGCTTTTGCAATCAAAGCTATGTACGACAGAGGTGGTTTATCCAGAAATCTTTCTTCATCCACAGTCACAGGAAGACCCTTTTTGTTATGTAGGTGAGAGCTGGGAATTTGAGGTGCAATCCCATGAGTCAGTTTTCCTTCTTTTCCTGCTGTACAGATGTCTCGACTTCCTTCACTGTTTTCAGAAGAGTCTTCACTCATTATAGCAGCCTGAAACTGGCATTTGTTTTTAGCGTTCTGGTATTTTACTGCAAGTAGCCAGTTGAATAATTGGTCCACAGAATATAACCAGCAGGAGGAATGGAAGTTGGACTTTAAACGTGCTGCTCTCACATACCCAGATTTCTATTTTATACTCTGTTAAGTCAACATCCTTAAMAATGAAAACCGAACTGCCTATGTTTATAAAAGTCAAAGCGCAAGTCTTAGCTGAATGACAAAAAAAATACAAAATGATTATACTATCTTAAGTATGAAGATAAACAGGCCATGACGTTGGCCTCTCACTTCATTATAATCTGAGAAAACACCCTTCAGTGTTCCCCATTGAAACATAATGATTAATGAGAAATTTATGGTGCCTATACAGAGTTGCGAAAGGATTAGACTCTCCAGTGATATGCAGAACAAATTGAAACCAACATGTTRATTCCTGTGTTCTACACTTAGTCAAACATGTTGTATTTAGCACAATAAACATTTGCTTTATTTGCTAATAGAAAGTACCGTGTTCAAGGCCAGGTTGGATTGGGCTCTGTGCACCCTGGTCCAGTGGAAGGTGACGCTGCCCATGACAGTGGGGTTGGAGCCCCAACATTTTCTGTGATTCAATGATTCGATGATCTCATGCAATTAGTCTAGGAAGGTTATTCAACATGTTGAAATATGTTCTAAAGCAAAACACAACAAAATGGTGGAAACTTTGAAAGAGGATGTATTTTCTTCTTTTGGGTCACTTTTGATGTTCAAAATATGTATTCATAAATGAGATATGTGTTTTGAGGCATCAACAATGGCATCAAAGATTTAACCTTACAAAGCTGAAGTTGATGCTGTTGTTCAGGATTGTATGGGTTCTGAAAATAACCCTTGGTTGCTCCATTCAGATGCTAGTTCTGTCAAAGAGAGAGGGAGACTAGGGTGTGCATTAAAATGATCCCTTTCCTCCTCACCTAGAAGTTCATATCCTGACTGATCTTCTTTATTGGGCACTTGTAAGCCTGGTCTCAYGTTTTCCAAATTGACCAACCAATGTTTCAGCTGGCAACCACAAAGTTTTTGGCTTAGAAAACAAAGACTTGTAATCTAATGATGCAGTTCACATGTGATCTCTAACATTTCTGTGCCAGAGTAGAATGGCTACCTGATTGCTTGCAAGATTTAATGGAACACTTTTCCAGCAATCATTGTGAATGGGATGTACCTGGTATTTTAACAGGCTTGGCTGTTCAAAAAWCCCAGTGATGACATGATGAGTATTTAACTGTTTTTCCTTGGTCTTCAGTCTCAACAATCACTTCTTTTGAAGGCATTCAATTGACCTTCTTTATCCCTCCTAGAAATTGTCTGCCTGGAACATCCCAAAGTTGCTATCATCTTTCTGTTACTGGTAGTTTTTCATAGCCTTCKGATGGCTAATTTACCAGTTTGTTCTCTTCCTTTCTTATTTGCAGCTGAATGGTTGCAAAATCACAGCAGAAATTATTGTTTCTGAARTGTGTGATCTGACATGTTAGACTATTTATTACAATCATGCCATTTCTATGGCTGCAGCTTTAAGCAGGTGATACCTAAAGGGGTTCCTGGAATAATAATCTAAAAAGCTTGATTTCAGTTCAGAATACCGGATTCTCTATATTAGGTTATTTCTACTGAAATCTGTGTTTTTATGGAAGACTGCAGTCATGGACTGGAGAACAAATGCTGCTCACTGTGACAAGGACTGTGTGTTCCTTTTCCCACAGCTCCAAGAAAGAAACACAGAATCAACCACATGTTCTGCTATTTTTAGTAGTGGCTTTGTAAACTGAAGATTTTGAAGAAGGGCAAGGCACAGAACCTTGATTTTGAGTGTCTACAAATATCCAAATTAAATTAAGAGTAAGGAAACTTATTACAGTTTTCAATTTGAAGGACAGGTTTTGGAAACTGAGGTTATTAGGAGGAGCCAGTCTGAAGAATTGGAAATTTGAATGCAGAAAATGCCCAAAAGTCAAATGCATGATGCTTGAACTTGAATTCTGAGTAAGAATAAAAATTGTGTTGAAAGGGCTGCGTACCTGAACAGATGAACAGTTCTTTTAGTAAGTAAAGGAAGATTCTACAGTGAATGAGAGATGAAATAGAGTGCAAAGCCCCCTGTATTTGGAATGGCTGAAAATYCTGATCTCCAAGACCAAGATTTTGTTTCTCAGATACGCCATCAAAGAAAATATTAATTCCGTATTTCTGGGTGTCTTGCTCGTTCCTCCTTTCTCCAAGTTATTTCTGGAGTAAGCTTTTATTTTCCTCTAAGTCTTATCATTAAAGATGAAAATTCCTCTCTTTTCCCAAAACAAGCTTCCCTCTTAAAAAGCAAGATGTGGTCCATGTTTTATCCTTATTCTTGATGGGTACCCTTTTGTCACTGTCTGAAATGTCTACAAAGCTTTTACATTAGAGGAACAACCTTCACTGGCTCATTGTCCAGTTTCATCTGAAAAGAAGAGTGAGAGGCAAGGAAAGCATACATGAATACTTATTGTGCAGACTTTTCCCAGCCCAGGGAAGCAGATCCCTCTTCAGATGTCTGCATACACCTTATTAAAGCACCATTATTGTTGCCACATTCTCTACAAAGCTGCTAAAACACTGCGTGGTTAGAAATCTGAGATTTCTCACAAAGCACCATAAAAAGATGGGGTTGGATTTATCAGCCRGACCAGTTAAATAGTTTATCCTGCAAATTTGTCAATAATAGAAGTATTCTTGAAAAAATGGATAAGGGTGACAGAGCACTTGGTAATACTCTTCCAGTAATGAAATCTTTTCTGAATTTTCACTATACAAGAATTGGGTTTTTTTCCTCTGTCCTTAATTTAGGTTAAGGAGAGTTTTGTCAGTGTCATAACTTTGATTGTATGTATCCAGGCTATCCCCTTACAACAATTGTAATGTTTCTTTCCCTATACATATATTCACAAAGCCTGCAGTTATCCTGATTTATACTGTGAAAACAAGCACACGTTTTAGGGAGTGGTCTGGTTTCTACTTTTGATCACAGAGTAAACCACTTGCAGTCATAGGACAAAGATTTTTTAAAAAGTCTGGCAGTGCATACAATCTGTAACTAAGAACGGAAAACAATTGAAGGTAGTTCCTGTCCTCACTCAGCCTTTATTACTGGTATTTAAGTACTATGATACGGAATTTAGAAAGAAAATCCTGCTTAAATGTAATACTGTCTTTTCTTCCTTAGCTCTACATACTTTCAGAATTAATTAATGTTTCAAAACACCTCTCAAAATATGCCATCATTAATTCTTTCTAAACTATATAACCTTTAAAATATTTCTTCTACCTCTGGTTCAGCACTTTTGAYCATTTAACAGTCAGATAGAGCAGTGTTCTCTGCAAGGAGAAAATGYATTTATGCCTTATCATAATAGATTTATTTAATAGCAATGAAGAAAGTAATACATCATATACTATTTGCTGAAGAAGTGCAGTTTTCTAGGGCCCTGGGGAATACACTGTTAGGAAGCCAAGTGGAACCAGATTTTATACTGCTCATCTGCAGTCGATGCTTAAGACATAATTGTTTTCTACTTGATGCAGAAAGGTAGTGCTTCTTTTCTTACAGTTAAGGCAAAGAAAGATCAATTGGTCAGTGCTAATAATAGATATGACAAAAATATTTCACTGTAGTTTTTGTTGCTCCATTGTATGTTTAATTAGGTCCCAAGCCTGCTAATTTTATAATGCTTTTCCCTCTAATGTTTACTCTGCTGTTCAATAGAGAGGCTAACACATATAGAGCTGTCTTATTTTCTTCACATTGTAAACTCTACCTATTGTTTCCACTGTTCCCTAAACAGTATTTAAGGACACCTGGAAACCATTTGTCCTGATTCAGCACTTGGTTTTGATGTGTTCAAAACCATTAAGGAGCACGGCTTCAATAAAGTAGTAATTAAATGTTCTAGAATGACCTGCTGCTGTAATACTTTGAAAGCAAAGAGTTACTCTGTTGTCTGATTTAGGTCTTTTATGACTCAATTTTCAAAGATGCAGAGAACAAATGATATRATTTTTATTATATTRTTTTCACGGTGTTAATGCAATCCTTCTATGCTTATCTATGCTTGATTTGAGGTAACTGTCTATATATACTTTTGATAAAACATGTGCACTCTTATGAAAACTTTGACTCAGTGCAAACTGTTCAGACAAGAACTAAATTAAGTGGAGAGCAGACATAAACCTCTTCCCCTCTGCACTGAAGAAGATGAAGCTTGTAGACAAGACATTATTTTCAACCAGGGTGTGGTCTCCCTTTGCTCCCAGTTGTGCTTGTTGGTCTCCCTCCTTATAACCACTGGTACTTCTTTCTTGTACAAAGGCAGAATCTTTTCCCTCTTTCATATTGTTTATTTCTTACACAACGTTTTTCTGTTTTCCTTTTTAGCTGCCCTCAGYACACTGCCCTCTTTCTCTAACTAGATAATGGCACAAGACTGAAGACTTGATCAGTTGGTGGTAGCAGTTTTGCTTCACATCTCTGGTGTTTATTTACACCCAGGACAGAATTAAGGATTTGAACTGAGTGAATGGCAAGATGGATAGAGATACACACAATAATATTAATGTCACTGACAGTACTTGATTTAAACAAAAATATGTCTTTGAAAATGTCTTTGTTTTCAGAACATTCTGCAGGCTGTCCTTCCTTCCTAAACAGTCCTTGTCACAGCACGATGGAATGCAGTGATTTGTTTGTAAGCTCAGGTGTAATATCTGTCTAATAGCTGCTGAAGCCAATGGAAAGGTTCTCCTTGCTGAATAAGTACTGGACTGGGCCAAGACAAATCACTGGCTTCAGCAAGCATTAAGAAAAGAAAAATTACAGCATAAATAGCCAATAAATCAAAACACTCTCTCACCAGTTTTTAAACCTATTTTCATGCAGTCTAGAGGCAATACTAGTTTCCATGAGTTTCCTTTTTCTGTTTTTCTCCTTCCATTTTCAGCTAGAAATGAATCTGTTCTCTAAGCTTGCCTTGGTCAAGATGTAGCCAAGCACAGTAGGTTGGCGGCCCTTCTCTTGTCTGCACCTCTAACTTGAATGTCCCACCATGGTCCATTGGGGAAGTTACCTTCCCATTTGCATTTGCCTGTGCAGCTTTTTTTAAGAAATATACAGAATGCAAAAGAGGAAACAGCTTTTAACAGAAACAGATGTAACCATTAACAGTGTCATAAATAAATTCTCCTTGTTTGCATAATTACTACAGTAGTATTTTCTTAGATTATGTTGACAGAAGAAATTGACTTCTCATTAGAGTAAGAAGTCTAATTTTCCAGTCTGTGCCTAATTCACACAATACAAAGTCAAAATGTGCATGTAGCAAATCAGCTCTGAAGCTCTGTGCAGAGCCATAAGCGGGAACAGGCAGCCGTGGTGCTTCTGGGATCCCTCTGAGAAAGACTTTGGACTCCTCTGTGGAGGAAGTTCTGGAGAGCTCACTCCTTTCTTAGTCATGAGCATGGCTGGATAGAACTACCATCTGTATTTAAACAATTCTTGAATGTTTTTACTGTTAAAAAATACAGCATTGTAAAGCACTAGCTCAAAGTCAGTAACATCCTTAGAGTGTAAGAGCTGTGTAGTTTATGGTAGAAAGCTACTTTTGATATCTCTTCTCATATGTTATTGTCTCAAAGTATGATTGGGGAATTAGGAATGTTTTTACCATAGCAGGTGGGATGGCTATTGAAGGGCTACGGTGGAACACTGGCAAAACCTGGAGATGTTCTCCTGGTGTGGGAGGATGCTTCATCAGAAAAGATGATTTGTGGCAAGATGCAGTTTACCTTATTGTCTGGCAATAGACATTCTCAGGTGAGCTTTGAAGTTACCAGTGAGACTGTAACAACAGGGGGAAGGATTCAAAGTGTCCTGAATGAAGAAAGAGGTTACTAACCTGTGCTGTAATCTGTGATGATTATGTTAATGTTATCAGTCTCTGGCGTGGTTAATTTCAGTGTCTCTTAACTTGTACTGTGCTATTAGATTACAGTGTAGATTTACCTTTTGAGGTAGGGTAAGGGAAGATGCAATGGAAATAGGAGACATTAAATGATGTGATAGGAAAAGGTGAGTTTTGAGTTCAAGATCTTTGTTCTATAAAGACTGGGACTTTCCATGTGTGGAACGCCATGAAAGTGMAAGTCAAATGTTAACTGAGTAAGTTGATTAAGAAGCTACCTTTTCATTTTGTTTGGAAGGTTGAACAACCTTTAAAAAGTATAGTGTCTTTCTTCCTTCTGTTTGTAGCTGTGAGGTACAGGTTTGTGTTTTAGAGTCAGATGCCTAAGTTAATTCTCTCAGTTGCTTTTCTCTCAATTTGGCCAGATGATGCTAAATATAATCCAGCATGAGATGATTTCATAATCCAATTAGTGGTGAACTCAGCCACATTTACAATGGTACCTTACAAGCTCATTTCCAGTGTACTCACCTCAGTGTTTGATTGTATTCCTGGTTCAATGAAGTTGTGAAGGCCAATCCTAGCTAGAAAAAGCTGGCATAATCCTAGTGTCCGACTCATTGAGTCACTATGGTATAAAGCCAAGGCAAAAAGTCACATTGCATTTTGTATCTGAAAACATTGCAAAAATGGTCTTGAAAATAYATATAGGAATATTTTACAATATAGAAACTATTTACCTGATGAAGTATACATCTCAATCAGAGATTAGTATCTCCTCATTAGTGCAATATGATGAGTTTTTAGTGTAATATAAGTTGATCATCTTTAAATAGCTCTTGCAATTTAACTATACAAAGAATTCAGATTTTAAATGCTGTTCTTCTTCTTAGCACATGAAGCCACATAAAAATAAGAAATATAATATTTGAAATGTATCGTTGAAATTGTAACACCTAATACTGTCAGATGGAGAAAGGCCAACATAGCTCGCACACCATGGCATCTATTAATAGAGCTGACTCCCTTTCRCAATGTCAACTGTAACATTAATCCTTGTTTTAAATCGTAGTATCTCAAATATCAGYTGCCACTAGTTGTACAGTTCTCTTTCAGTTTATATCGGAGAGCCCAATGGAGTCTTTTGAAGGACCTAGTCATGTTAACAGGGCTAACTTATTACAAATCCCCATTGTAAATGATTCCACTTCAGAGGACGAAGATGTTAATGTTGACATTAAACTTCGTTACTCTCCACGTCCCCGAAGGCGGAATTCTTCAGTTTCAGAGGAAGAAGAGGCAGAAACTCCCACCAGCATCTCAAGAAAAGTTTCATTTGCTGATGCATTTGGATTTGATCTTGTGTCGGTTAAAGAATTCGATATCTGGGAATTTCCTAACATGGGACAAGAAGATGATGTAGAAGATGAAGTTTTCCCTCAGGAAGAGTACTTTTTCTCCCAGCAGTTTACACTACCTGCATCTCAAGAGGAACTTTTACAGAAAGTGAGAGAGCAGAAAGTAGCGCTGGAGTCAGTCCTGCTTCTGCCTGGCGTTACCTGTATGAACGGCATTGTACGAGTCCTCAATGTATCCTTTCAAAAACAGGTCTACGTTCGAATGACATTGAATAACTGGCTCAGTTATTACGACATYCTTGCAGAGTTCATGCCTAATTCTTGTGGCAGCGAAACGGATCAGTTTTGCTTTAAGATTTCTCTGGTGCCTCCTTACCAGAAAGATGGAGTTAAAGTGGAGTTCTGTATACGCTATGAGACATCAGTTGGTATCTTCTGGGCAAACAATGATGACAAAAATTACACGTTGATTTGTCACAAGAAAGAAACTGTGCCCAAGGTGGATAATAAACCCCAGAAGGAGGTTACAGATAGGTGTCTTAAAGGCTGCTTAAAGACAACACAAAGCAGGTGAGGTTTTACCTTAATTTTTGGTAGACTATAGCTGGCTAATTCTGACTTTCTATAGATGCTTACTGAAGTCAAGACTGTCCATGTTATTTCCTTCTATTTTACTTTTTTTTTTTTCTAAATAAAAAACTAGACCAAGACTTGTTTTCAGTAAAGTGCTTGTATATATCAGCTAGTGGTTTTCTGCAGACAGATTAATTGGGATCATAGTTTTATGTATGTCATTCATTTGAAAAATAGTGTGAGGGTCTATGAGCTCTCTTTGGCTGTGTACCAATTTTGATCTCTGTAGAGCATAAATTGAGCTGACATTAGTGGGATCTACAGACTAAGGTAGCTGAATAGTTAAAATACTTTGTATCCACTTCCTTTCTAAGTCAACAAAAATTTAAAAGCAAAACAACAGCTGTGTTTTCACATTATTTATTTCATGGTTCTTTCTCTACATGCAATCATTAAATCAGAAATGGCACTGGTGGTTCATGAGGCAGAAGTGGATAACTTAGGGAAGAATACAGCAGTTACAATAGCTGGCACAAACTTTTCTGCAAGTGGTCAGGCTATTCTGCAAGTTCCGTATCAGGGCTATAATTCATTTTCCCTGACACTGGTTGTGGCTTCTGTTTCATAAATGATGAAATGAATCATGTTTTATAAGACAGAATTGGTAATATAYTAAAGAAAAAATATATAGAATTTATCTTCTATATACTGTTCTGATTAAATATAGACATATATTTGTAAAGTGTGTATTTTAAACCGGCAGTGGTTAACATACTTTAATCACATATAAAGAGATTCACCTAGGAATAGTAACTTTTGCTTTCTACTCTTTATCTTCTTTCTGTTAGCAAAACAACATTGCATGCAAAAATCTAATTCTCAGGGTTTTTTCTCCCAAATTTGCTGCAAATCAGCTGACTTCTGCAGAACTAAATCTATTTTGCCTGTAATGTCCTTTGCAATACTTGGATGCCAGAAGTAAATTAATGTTGTGTTTTTGAATTTATGTTGAGGTTTTATTTCCTGTACTCTTTCCAAATAAGGCAGTGCTGTTTGATTTCACTGGTGCTCTTCCACTGGACTGAACTGGTAGCAAAGGGGGAAGAGCAGTGGTGGGAGCTTAAGGAAGAGGGAGACAGCCAGGGCATTCTCTGTGCAGAATCTTTGTTCCCAAAACCAGATTTGCTGTGCTGGGAGCTTCTTCCAGCTCTAATCGCACATTAGCCCTGTGAGGAGAGGTGCAAAATATGTCTTAGTGCCTGTATCAACGCCGCAGGGTAGGAGCTGCCCCAAGGCTAGCCCAAGGCCTGGTTCGTAGCCAGTCCACAAAGCTGATCTGACAAATGTCCTTTGGGCCAACTCTGGAGCCCTCACGATGGTGCTTCCATGAGGGAACATCCCAGAACGTCAGCACGGAGGGAATGATGCTTTTACATGTCATGTGGTCAGTTCCTGACTTTGCATCTGAATTTATACATGATTTCTGTCCTTCAAGAAGTGTCACATGACCCATTCTGGGTAAGTAAGATAGCCTGAGATACCCTGCAGGAGGACTGTGATATCAAACACCACAGGCATGTGCAGGCAGTGTGACTCCTGCCTGAGTTCAGGTAGAACACCAGGAACAGATGATGGACACGGAGAGCTGAGTCTCAAGTTAGCGAGCCTTGAGCTTCCAGATGGTTTCAGGAATAACCTGGAAATTTACATACCATTGGGCATCTAAGGACAAATGACTCCTAAGTGTTTAATTCCCTGAAGCTTCCCATGACATGCGTAGTGCTAGCAGAAGTTGTAGAAGCCTTCCTTTTGGGGGATGCACTTTTACATGGATATATTAAATGATATATGTGTAAGTCTGTTAAAAATGGGAAAGGAGATAACATATTTTCTTCTCAATGTAAAATTATTTTGTCTCTAATCAGACTGCAAAGTTTTCTCCCTCGATGTGAGACTGAAGAGGAGTGCATATGTGTGCATRTGTTTATACATATATTTGTATGTATGTATGTATACATTTATGTGTATATTTGTTCATATAGACACATATATACAAGCATGTTTACAATATTTAAACCAAAGTGGTCAGATTTTTGTCTACATTAGGATCTGCTAACCACTTCTGTCAAGCAGCTAACAAGCATGCACTTTCCAGACCCTCTTTAGTGSCAGAAGATTGTACTGCCAGAAGAATGACACTTCACAGAAAATGCAAAAATGAGCTGAAAGTATCTTTGCAATATGGTTTCAGTGGTCAACAGGCTTCTGAAAGACAGTTCTGGCAGATTGCAATCCAGGACTAATTTTCTGCTATAAGGACTTCATTGACTTCACAAGAGGCATGAYCCTCACCAGTGTAAATGAGGTCAGCATCAGGGCCTTTTGCTTCAAAAGAGCTAAGGTGCCAACTTGCATTGCTCTCTTGTTTTTCAAAGTGTCTTTGTACATGTTGCCCCTTTGAGTGAGGAGGAACACCCTGCAGACATTTGCAAAAGAACCTCATTATTCTCCTTCAGACCCTCATTAAAACTTCTTTGCTTTGATATCTGGAAAAAAGTGCAAGACAAACAARCCCCCTGAAATTGGCAAAGTGAGGCTGATGAAGTGCTGTTACTCCTTCATGTCATGTTGGCAGTGCTGCCTCTTTCCCAACTTTCCTCYACCAGCCTGTCTCTTTTTTCTCTTACTTTTTGTACTGATGATAAGCTCTGCAGCATTTATATGTGCTATGCTGAGTGTTCATAGATCATTTAGCAAAGATGGGATTGGGGGCCTCACCCATACCTATCTTGTTGCCTTGTTGCAAATAGATAGAAGTAAAAGCAATTTTATCTATTATTATCGCAACAAAGTGATGGGTAAGGAATATTGCTATCCGTACCCATGAGTTGGACATCTAAAATTTAATATTTCTTTATAGCAATCTGAATAGAAGGATAATTTAAAAGGACACTCATTTAGGCCTCTGTTGCGAATTCAGAAACCTCTAATAACATTTATATTTTTTTTTAACTCTTGGCTCTGAGATATTTATACTTTCTCTTAAAATGTGCCATTTACCTCTGCAGTTAAAAAATAAGACATGAAAGAGTCATGTTTTTAAAGCAAAGAATCTGATCCATTCTAGGGCATGCTTGTGTGGCTAATTAAATGTCATTAGCAAGGATTAGTTGTGTTAGTTAGGTGAAAGGAATAATATGCATGTTCAGAGGAACTTACAGGGGAAACACAATAATATGGCTGTATTAAGTTACTCTTAACATGATCTAGGACAAAGTTGAATGAATAAGGACAATAGACTGATTTCTCACACCATTATTAAGAAATAAATTTAAAAATTGTCTTAGCCCTCAAAAGTTGCCCCTGGGAAAAAAAAATATGGTAAAAAGCAAAGCTGCATCAAGTAATTAATGCTGAAAACCGTATATTGGATATTTTGAACCAGATGACTTAAAAGTCTGCCTCTTCATTTCATGTTTCATTTGCTTTTGCTCCCATGACTAGGTATGAACAAAGAGTATTCTCTTGAACTTTCATAAATTATTTAATTCTATCTGTATTTTAACAACCTGAAATAATTTCCTCATAAAGTTTAACAATTTTTGTTGTTTCCAAAAGTCTTCAAATGATGCAGGGGAACAAAATACAGTTTGGGAAAATAATGTTTAAATTAATTAATTTATGCTTTGACCTATCTGAAAGTGTTTTTTTAACTTATACAAAGTCATACTTCGGGAGAACATCTAACTCATACATTTTAAGACTGTCACTGGAAATGAAAAAGCTTCTGCCAATAAACAGGCCTTATTTCTATCATATTTTCATAAATATATACATACACATAAACACACACATATTTATAGACATACATGCATATATATATATATATATATATATAAAAGAAAAATGTAAATTACTTGTATGAGCTCCACTCTTTTTTCTTTTCTTTGATACTTATACTTTTGGGATATGGATAATGAATTTGAATGTGAAGTTTTCCCGGTCCTCAGATTTGGAGCACATGATTCTGTTGTGGACATCAGGTTCCTGCACTGATTTATTAGACAGGAGCTGGTTGGGTGTTGTGTGAGGCAGTCTCCTGCAGATCATTCTGCAAGGTGCAGTGATAAAGTTTTGGAAGCCATATCCCCTGTCACTGGTGATGCTGGATCCCATTTCTGTGCTCGGCTCTGCTTTGCCACCTGTCAAGAACAAAAACAACAGCACAAGGAAAATGACTGATAAGCATGAGAATTGTTTACAAGAGGGTAGTGTGTGTTTGTACTCCTGTYCTCTGACAAGGAAGGGGAAAGCTACCATTTTTGTCATAACTGGTAGAGTTATCCCCCTTGTAGCTCTTTGAGCCCACAAATACATCACTCTGAACTGATCCACCCTAAGTGTGTCACTGTGATCCAGCTGATGTTGGTTCTATGCAATTTTTTTTTAAATTGCTATACTATGCCTTTTTTGGGAAGTAGTGCATCAATTCACTTCCCTCCAGGATGCCACTTTAAAATACAGCACAGAATAGGGAAATGGCTCTTACAAAAGCTGCTCTGTGTACAATGCACAATGAGAAAAAAAAAAACCCCATGTCTGTGGACCACCAGGTTTAACTGCATAAATACTGAATAGTCTCTAAGCAATTGCAAGGGAAAAATTTCTTCTGTGCATGAGTGCTTTTCCTTCTTCAGCTGCTGGTTATCTCATTTTTGATGGGATGTAAAGGAAGGAAGTTGCTGAAGACCCAGTTTGGCAGAAGTGCACGGTGCTCAGTCAGTCTTCCCAGGCAGATGGCAGGCCAGTACTTAGGTTGCCCTGCCCAGTTTTGCTTCAGCTCCTCTTGGCCTTTCCCACAAGCTGATGATGTGATAAAAAAAAAGAGAAAAATATATTTGGAAGTAGTCTCTCATGCACTTTGCTATGAGGAACAGCTGTGTCATTTCCAGCTGGTCCATTTAAAATATGGCATTTAAATTATGTTCCCTTTGAAT